TTACCTGTCCGGATACAAACTTGCCTGTCCGATTTTCAACAATAAAAAACAAACAAAATCAGGTTAGTCAAGTTTCTGTTTCCCAGATAGCATTCAGACGTTGGCCCAACGTTGGCAATGGTTTTGCCAACATTGCCAACGCTTAATAACGAATCCTATCTGGAGTTATAGGCACAATGCTACATCTGGGTTGTAGGTAAATACGTGCAATGAACTTACATAGCAAACAGGCAATGCAAGTGAACATTGATCATAAACTGAGTACACCTGCTGTGATTGGTTATCTTAACATGAACTGTTTAAGTGTTAGGGTTAAAAAAATGTACCAGACCACCGGAGAGGCTACTTTTGAAATTTGACCGCCCGAGATGAAACTAGACCGTTCCGGACGGTCGGGCGGGAATTTTAATGCTGCTTATATGGTGAGTCAAACCCAAGTATTTGGTGTGATGGGCAAACACTGCAACCACTAGGCTACCCCACAATCCAAGCTTGATATCAGATTGATATAAGATATGCATATCTAAGTATGTGAATGGTACTGTATATATATTTGGAGCTGGTTTGTGTCCTGAGGATCAAAGTTAATACAGTTCGCTGTCCCTTGGGTGAGAATACCCGTGATGATCTGGGCTGATTGTCTAACAACAATGCTTGTCGTAAGAGACCTGTGATGATCTGGGCTGATTGTCTTACAACAATGCTTGTCGTAAGAGACCCGTGATGATCTGGGCTGATTGTCTTACAACAATGCTTGTCGTAAGAGACCCGCGATGATCTGGGCTGATTGTCTTACAACAATGCTTGTCGTAAGAGACCCGTGATGATCTGGGCTGATTGTCTTACAACAATGCTTGTCATAAGAGACCCGTGATAATCTGGGCTGATTGTCTTACAACAATGCTTGTCGTAAGAGACCCGTGATGATCTGGGCTGATTGTCTTACAACAATGCTTGTTGTAAGAGACCTGTGATTATCTGGGCTGATTGTCTTACAACAATGCTTGTCGTAAGAGACCCGTGATGATCTGGGCTGATTGATTACAACAATGCTTGTCGTAAGAGACCCGTGATGATCTTATTGTCTTAACAATGCTTGTTGTAAGAGACCCGTGATGATCTGGGCTGATTGTCTTACAACAATGCTTGTTGTAAGAGACCCGTGATGATCTGGGCTGATTGTCTTACAACAATGCTTGTCGTAAGAGACCCGTGATGATCTGGGCTGATTGTCTTACAACAATGCTTGTCGTAAGAGACCCGTGTGATGATCTGGGCTGATTGTCTTACAACAATGCTTGTCGTAAGAGACCCGTGATGATCTGAGCTGATTGTCTTACAACAATGCTTGTCGTAAGAGACCCGCGATTATCTGGGCTGATTGTCTTACAACAATGCTTGTCGTAAGAGACCCGTGATTATCTGGGCTGATTGTCTTACAACAATGCTTGTTGTAAGAGACCCGTGATTATCTGGGCTGATTGTCTTACAACAATGCTTGTCATAAGAGACCCGTGATGATCTGGGCTGATTGTCTTACAACAATGCTTGTCGTAAGAGTCCCGTGATTATCTGGGCTGATTGTCTTACAACAATGCTTGTTGTAAGAGACCTGTGATTATCTGGGCTGATTGTCTTACAACAATGCTTGTCGTAAGAGACCCGTGATGATCTGAGCTGATTGTCTTACAACAATGCTTGTCGTAAGAGACCCGTGATGATCTGGGCTGATTGTCTTACAACAATGCTTGTTGTAAGAGACCTGTGATTATCTGGGCTGATTGTCTTACAACAATGCTTGTTGTAAGAGACCCGTGATGATCTGGGCTGATTGTCTTACAACAATGCTTGTCGTAAGAGACCTGCGATGATCTCAGCTGATTGTCTTACAACAATGCTTGTTGTAAGAGACCCGTGATGATCTGAGCTGATTGTCTTACAGCAATGCTTGTCATAAGAGACCCGTGATGATCTGGGCTGATTGTTTCACAACAATGCTTGTCATAAGAGACCCGTGAAGATCCAGATTAGAATTGATCTTCAGCAACCCACGCTTGTCGTAAGAGACACGTGAAGATCTGGGTTAGAATTGGTGTTTAGTAACCCATGCTTGTTGTAAGAGACACGTGAAGATCTGGGTTAGAATTGGTCTTCAGTAACCCATGCTTGTTGTAAGAGGCGACTAACGGGATCGGGTGGTCAGGCTTGCTGATTTGGTTGACACATGTCATCATATCCCAACCGGGTTCATTCTCATGACGTCAAGTAATGGATTATCTGGTCCAGACTCATTATATACAGACTGTCATCATATAGATTGAAGTTTGCTGAGTGCGGTGTTAATCAACAAACTAACAAAAATTAATTTGACCAAGAATCCAGTTGTGTTTAAATTTCAGATTGATTTATTATGATTTTTAGTTTATCGGCATCCTAGCCCTGATGATAGGTTTTATACTGCCAGTGTTGCGAGTGACCTATATAAAGTATAGTTAGGCTGTTCTGGATGAGAACACTGTATAATTTCAGATGCCACATTTACAGAGGAGATACTGATGAACATGAGGAAAATCAACGTATTGAATCCATATGTCGTAAAATACTTATATGTTTTAGCTATGGCGCTTCAATGGACTCTAAACGAGTTTCAGCTGCATTTACACGAATGTGTAGTAGCAGGAAGGATTTCTCGATATTGAAAGGCGAACATTATATAGAGGAAATTATATTCGTGCCCATGTCATACTATTTTTACGACACGAGTGCCTAATTTTTTTAATTTCCCAAGCGAGAGCGAATATAATGTTCTATTTATTACCAAGGTCGTTAAATTGAGGAAAATAAACACAAATCTACGTTTAAACAAAGGCTGGCTACCTGCATGTAGAACGCAACCCTGTCATAGAAGAAACGTGATGTCATAGCGTTGGTCATGATGTCACGTGACCGTGACAAAGTGATATTTTGCCCAAAGGCATCGTATGATAATATGAACCCCAATATTTTTGCCCTTGTTGGTATTAATAGAGTATATGGTAATAATATTAGTGGTGGTACCATTAGTATCAGTGTAGATGTGTATCATTTTGGTGGTACCTCCAAATGACTGCTCGTTTGACAAAGGGACATCCGTCTCTAACTTTGACCTTTGTTTTTCTTCATACGCTGTATGCAGTGCAGTGTTCTGTATATGTGGTGGGAAATAGGTCAACCTGTTATCAGGGTGATGCAATTTGCTGCGTAGAGTTGCATCCCCTGGGTGTGCTGGAAACCAATGATCCCGAGTTTGAATCCTGGTTCGCTGTAATTATGCTACTAGGTTTGTCAGGACCATACCTGTGGTCGTGAGTTTTTATTAAGTAGTAAGGGACCGTTCATAATTTATGGCTAGGGGGAAGTGACGATGATTTTTATGGAGAAGCATGTACAATGTGAATGACACCCCCAAAATTTATGCACAAAGTAACTGACCCCCCTTGCCTGCATGTACAAAATCAATGATCCCCTCCCCTTTCCATATTTCTAAAGCATAATTTTAAAATATTTTTATGTGCAAAATTGCTGACAAACAAACCCCCAAAAACATATGTACAAAATTGATGACCCCTACCTCCCCATAACAAAATGGGTAACCCCACCCCCACCCCCTTAAAATCATCACCCACTCACTCACTCACTCACTCACTCACTCACTCACTCATGATTTCACAATCATGCCTTCAGGTATTTAAAGACAAAATATCCCTAACCGTATAATGACATTGTCATGAACAAGAACTGCCACCACACGGAAGGACATCACACATTGTTAACCGGCCGGGAAAGACAACATGAAGCATCTGAAAGAAAGGCAGCTAGTATATCCAATTAGACCAGGAGTGGTATCTCCTCCTAATTATGGACTCCACCCCGACAGTTGTTGGCATGCTTCTATTACCAATTAGTGCGGATCTGAATCCTGAAATCACTGAAAACACTGAATGTGTGAGGGTGCCTTGTCATCAGCAGATCTGTCACTGTGATTAGTTAAGCATGTGCTCTATAACTACATATAATAGTCCTGAAAGTATTCAGTTTCTTTAATTACAAAATGTTAATTCAAGAAAATAACAGTCTTGTTTATCTGACAGAACAGTTCCATCGGGGATAAAAGACAAAACAGAGGTGGAAACAATATGAATGGATACTTAAAGTCAGAGATGACTGCAGGTGTTCGTTTAAGAACTGTTTCATTACCTTCAGGGTCATGAAATTAATTTAAGTAGCATTTAAAATACTTTTTGAAATTCAAATTAGCTACTAAGCATTCCTTAGGTTATATCGTATGATGTATCTTATTAGAATAACATTCAAGTAAAAACTTAATAGCTTTCACTTGTTAAATATGATTTGAAACAACTCGTAAGATTAATGGTATCTGACAGACACTCGTGTCGTAATCTCTACTTAATGTTTTTATCATACAAACTGACAATGATATGTTTTGTATGATAGTTAAGTAACAAGGATGTGCAAGTAAGTATAAAAGAACTGTTCCATTACCTTCAGTGTCATGTTGTGTCAGGATGGGATTTCCTAGTACTGAGACACATCTGTCATATTGTGTTGATATGGTCTTTGACCAAACTCAACTCAACTCATTGTATCTTTTTTTTACAGCATTCTAGAAGTTGATTACAACCAAGTATTATAATGGGAGGCATATGTGTTGTAACAAACATACTTGGTTGTAATCAATTTTAGCTTGAAAATGGTGTAAGAACCTACACCGAAATGTTGCTGTGTGCAATAAACATGAAGTTGTTATCCATCAAGTTGTTATCCATCAAGTTGTTATCCATCAAGTTGTTATCCATCAAGTTGTTATCCATCAAGTTGTATGCTTTATTATCAACTCAACCCATGGATTACAATTTCCCCACTAGAATACCGATTATTAGATACTTGAAACTGTAGAAGGTTCTGAAAGGAGGTTTTGATTGCTGGATATGTTATTGCAGGTAAGGAGCTGTATGCGTGTCGAGCTGCCGTGGACGACTTCAACACCATCTTGTCTACACTTGGGGGAGATGGGGAGAAACAGAGGGCTGCAGAGCTCCTAGCCAGGGTCAAGGTCATTGAAGACAAACCATCCCAGAAGGCCCGAAACTTGCAAAACCTGGGGAAGATAAAAGATCGGTCTAAGGTAAGTTAAATCAGTTGAAGTCTTGAGAAACATCGTCACTGAGGTCGCAGGCTAAGAGCTATTAATGTCCTGTTGCTGCTTCAGAGATCTGGGGATGTTTCTTCATCTTCAATGTTGTTCTTGTGGGAATATCAGTGTTTAATGGCATTGTCAGGTTGTGTTGTTTTCAACGAGACAAGCGAGACTACACAGTTTCTCTTTAGCTCTTGTTCATCTTACTGTAAGCAAACTTGATTGTTCACATAAAATGGTTGTGCAAGGAATAGCTTGTACTGTCAAACAGTCAATAACAATAAGTTGCAACATAAAAAAATAGGGAACAATAGGTTATATACTAGGCACATTAAGAAACTGTGCACACAAAAATTTATAATCTAAATTTATCAAACCTGTGTAGACACATAAGGATTTAAACTCAGAGATTAGTGACATGTATCCAACATGCATGAACATGCCACATTCCGTGACGTCAGTGGGCACTTGAGACGTGCAATACGTTGTTGCACGTGCATTCCGGGAAAGAGAAACAGAGTAAATGAATGCCACACAATGTCACTTTGGAAAGCTCAACCCCTGCCCTTGCGATCGTTCAAAAAATTAAACAGCTATTGAAACGCATAGCATGCCAAGGCTCACGTCTGCACAACGTCATGAGGCCATTGGGATGGTCCATAGGGGAATGTCTCAACGACAAGTGGCTGCACATTTCCACTGCCACCGGAACACCATTTCTGCACTGGTGAGACGCTACCAGAACACAAATGATGTCATCGATCGGCCACGTTCTGGACGTCCACGTGTAACAACGCCAAGACAGGGCAGATGGATAAGGGTGACCCATCTTCGCCACAGGTTTCAGACTGCAGTGATGACTGCCCGAACCATCCCAGGACTTCGTCGTATCCACCCCAACACAGTTCGACAACGTTAACATCATCACGGGATCAGACCACGACGTCCCGCCATATGGCCTATCCTGACACAACGTCATCGACAAGCTCGCCGTACGTGGTGCCGAAATCATGTCCGCAGACCCTTGTTTTGGTGGAGAAATGTTGTTTTTACAAACGAGTCCAGGTTTAACATTTCCCATAGTGATGGACGTCAACGTGCCTATAGATGCATGGGAGAACGTTATGCACAGGCCTGTGTCTTGGAGAGGAATCACTTTGGTGGTGGTTCCGTGATGATTTGGGGTGGAATAACAGCACGCCAAAGAACTCTTTTGGTGATTGTTCAGGGCAACTTAACTGGTGTTGGCTACAGGGATCAGATTCTTCAACCTGTGGCAATTCCTTTTTCTGGGTTAACATTCCAACAGGACAATGCCCGCCCTCATACAGCAAGGGTTGCTATGGATTTCTTGCAACACCACAACGTTGACTTACTGCCTTGGCCTGCAAATTCACCGGATCTCTCCCTGATAGAGCATGTTTGGGACGAGATGGATCGACGTCTACGCCGTCTTCCTCATCCGCCAGATAACGTCCTTGACCTTGCAACAGAACTTGAGAGAATCTGGCGTGACATCCCACAAGCCTTCCTTGCACGTTTGAAAAGCTCTATGCGTCGTCGATGCACTGCTGTTCTCAATGCCGATGGTGGACATACCCGTTATTGAGCTTGTGACATGGTCGTTTGACCCCTGTCCCGCTTGTGGACTTGTGACGTCATTGTGATTGTCTTTTCAATTGAAATTCTCCCGACTTGTTATGGTCTCATGATCCCTCCATTACGGTTTATGACATTGTTATCGTACTTATCAACTGGGATAATATTTTGACGATGCACAGTTTCTTTATGTGGCTAGTATATGTTTTGATTTTGGGTTTTCAAGAAAATGGTTTAAAAGAAAGACATAGAGAAAATCTGTCCTGAATACATTCAGGGAACATTATGTCATTAATTATAAATTATTATGAAATGTAGTCTGCCCATGGCATCAAATTGTTTATGTAATAACTATGTGAAGTCTGATAAAGTGAGTTACAAATGACGAATTGAATATACAAGTAAGTTATGATTGATTTTATGATTGACCATTGCATTTACTCACTCCTCCATAATGTACCTTTGGAGATCTGGGTCAGAATCGATCTTCAGTAACCCATGCTTGTCGTAAGAGGCGACTAACAGGATCGGGTGGTCAGGCTCGCTGACTTGGTGGACACATGTCATCATATCCCAATTACGTAGATCAATGCTCATGCTGTTGATCACTGGATTGTGTGGTCCAGACTCGATTATTTACAGACCGCCACCATATAGCTGGAATATTGCTGAGTGTGGCGTAAAACAACAAACCAACCTCTGAAATGTTAACTGAAATCTGGGTGTCTGAAGAATATTTTTGATATAGCTATGCCTGTAATGTATTAATACTCCAGTGTTAAGGAATCTGGAGATATTTGTCAATAAATTACAGGTCAAAACAGGACACATTTGCTACTTCTTTCCAACCCTGCCATTACATTATAGAAACTTTCATCAATTGCTAGATGATGGTGCTAAATGTAATTGAATAATAAAACTTCAATCAGTTTGACAGTGAGTGAAAGCAGTGTTATGCTCCTATCTACATTTGGCCTTTGTACACATGAATTTAGACCCTCTGTTAGTGTGGGCGCAATGAATGCTCCCTTGACAAGGTATCACTCACAATAAGACCTCCCTTGGAACTAATGATGGCAGTTTATTGTAAGTATTCAGTGGCTTGGTGCAGTCTGAGAATGCATGGAATATGTAATTCAAGTACCTCCTCGGTTGGTGCCAATTTACAAGTCATTGGAAGGCTGATGGGGTTGTTTGGTCAGCTGAATCAAATACCTTGGGTCCTTTAGCTCAAGCTCTGATTTCTCTCTGGAGAGCGGTGGGGTAGCCTAGTGGTTAAAGCATTGTGTAGGACGAAATGAACAGCATAGTAAATGTTTGTTATAAAATATTTAGGGTATAATCAAGTATACAGTAACGTTAAGGTGTTCATTATTTGGACATATTACGGAACTTGAAAGGGCAAGTAATATGAAAATAGTCATTTTGAGATTTATATATCTTCCTAGATACATGATCAATGACTTGGTTGACACATGTCATCGTATCCCAATTTCGTGGATGGATCAGAAGATACTGGCTTCTTGTTTTTTATCAGACTGACTGTCACTGACCGAGTTTAGTTTTATGCCGCCTTTAGCAATATTCCAGCAATATCACGGCGGGGGAACCAGAAATGGGCTTCACACATTGTGCCCATGTGGGGAATCGAACCCCGGTCTTCGGCGTGACGAACCAACGCTTTAACCACTAGGCTACCCCACCAGACAAATGAAGAGAAATGTTTTTCTGATGGATGTGTTACAAAAATAAATGTTTACAAACAAGAGAAAGGGCCACAGTGTGGTCGTTATAGCAGAAACGTCTCTCTGAAGGAGAGCTTGAGAAAATCCTGTCAACAGATGAGCTTGTAGTGTGTGAGTTTAGTTTTACGCCGCACTCAGCAATATGCCAGCTATATGCCTGCGGTCTGTAAATAATCGAATCTGGACCAGACCATCCAGTGATCAACAGCATGAGCATCGATCTACGCAATTGGGACCCGATGACATGTGTCAACCAAGTCAGCCAGCCTGACCACCCGATCAATATTAATACATTACGGTCATAGCTATAGCAAAAATATTCTTCAGACACAGATTCTCCAGATTTCAGTTAACATTGTAGAGGTTGGTTGGTTGTTTTAGGCTGAACTCAGCAATATTCCAGCTATATGGCGTCAGTCTGTAAATAATCGAGTCTGGACCAGACAATCCAGTGATCAATAGCATGAGCATCAATCTATGCAATTGGGATTGACCAAGTCAGCCAGCCTGACCACCCGATCCAGTTAGTCGCCTCTTACGACAAGCATGGGTTACTGAAGATAAATTCTAACCCGGATCTCCAGTGTAGCTGATCACGGGTAGGATGAGCTTGTACACCAGCAGTGCAGTCACTGTAGCAGAAACTTCTCTCATGGAAGAAGAAACTATTGTTTACAAGACAAGAGAAAGTCCTGTCTGGGGTGAGGCTATACACCCAAAGGACCGCCTCTGTGGTGTTGTGGTTAGCGCGGAAGGTCGCAGGTTCGATCCCTGACCGCGTCATACCAAAAGACGTTAAAATATGGTACTTGTTGGTCCCTGCCTGGCGCTCAGCATTAATGGGTACAACAAGGACTGGTCGGCTCGGAGTCAGTATAATGTGTCTGAGTGGGGTATTCATGCTTCACTGCGGCATAGTATCTCAGTGGTCTAGCACTATAAAACCAGCTTCAGTCTGGGCTAGTACAAGCAGCCGTACATACACATGCATGCACGTCGCCATATGAGCGAAATATTTTCAAGCACGACGTTAAACCCAATCTCACCTCACCTCACCTCACCTCACCTCACCTCACCTCACCTCACCTCACCTCACCTCACCTCACCTCACCTCACCTCACCTCACCTCACCTCACCTCACCTCAACTCAACTCAACTCAACTCAACTCAACTCAACTCAACTCAACTCAACTCAACTCAACTCAACTCAACTCAACTCAACTCAACTCAACTCAACTTTTACACCCACAGTGTGGTCTCTGCACCTGACACCTCTCTCATGTAAGAATGTTTACAATTTCAGCTGTTGTTTTAACTCTATTTCAGTTTTTCAAACTTGGTGTTGGTCAGGCATTTTTGTTTACATATGACAGAAAGTATCAAAATGTACAAAGTACTTGTCTTCAAATTACTTGCTCTCTCAGTTGTCGCACTTTCACTACAATCTCCTTGGCCTCATCGCACTGGCAAAGGTTTGATTGTCTAATGCTTGCTTTCTCTACAATATGGAAAGTTTCTCTTCAATTTATCTTTGATAAGGGATTTCATCTTTGATAATGGAAGGATTCTTTAACAGTACTGAAAGTTTCTTCAGACTCTGAAAGGTTTCTGTGAGATTGTAGAGAGTTGATTTCCTCCGAGATTATGGAATATTGTGGCCTTGCCTTGTCTTCAAACAATTTTTCAATGATCAGTGATCGTCTTCTCGATTTAGTTATTTGTGAGAAGCTTGAGATAAATGTCTCAGTAACACTTGATGTGTTGCTGCCTGACAGGTGATTTTCGGTACGGGAGACAGTCTTGAAGCCATTACCATGACGGCAAACTCTGGATTCCTGCGGGCGGCTGAGAGTCAGGTAAACATTACTAAGTTCTTTTGATTGGTTGGGTGTGGGTGGGGGGTGGGGGGGAACATATCACAATCAGAAGGGCTGTGGGTAACCTAGTGTTTAAGTGTTCATGCCAATGATTGGGTTCAGGGGCGATAGGGTAGCCTTGCAGTTAAAACATTCACACATCACGCTGAAGACCCGGGTTCGATTCCCCACATGGGTACAATGCTTGAAGCCCATTTCTGGTGTCCAACGATATTGCTGGAATATTGCTACAAGCAAGGTCAGCCTAAACTCACTCACAGGGTTCATTACTCCACATGAGTACAATATGTGGAGCCGATATCTTATGTCCCTCACTGTGATATTGCATTAATGTTGCTAAGACCGTACTCACTTGCTCTCAGTTATCAAACTACATTACAATACATTACATTACTTTATATTACATTATCCATATTTTGTTCTATATTTTAGAATGGGGTAATGGTGGGTCAGCCTTGTGGTTAAAGCATCGGTTCGTCATGTTGAAGACCCGGGTTCGATTCCCCACATTGGTACAATGTGTGAAGCCCATTTCTGGTGTCCCCCGCCGTGATATTGCTGAAATATTGCTGAAAGCAGCGTAAAACCATACCCACTCACTCACTATTTTAAAATGCTTGACAAGCCAAACTGGTGTTTGGTGTAAGCGTCATTCTGAAGATTATAAATAGAACTGGCTCACTGACTCATAACATCAATCACTGGATTGTCTGGTCTAGATTCAATTGTTTACAGACCACTGTCATAGCTGTTATATGGCTGGAATATTAATGAGCGTAGGTTTACACAAAATAGAAGCAAACCCATGAATTATTCCCAGCTGACAGCCATTGCTGTAACCTACCATTGAAACTTCGGATTTATTATTGTGAAGATCTGGGTTAATATAATGAGCATCAATCTATACAAGGGATACAACGACATACACACCAAGTCACCTCTTAGATTGGTTGGTTGGTTGTTGTTTAACGCCGCACTCGGCAATATCCCAGCTATATGGTGGCAGTTTGTAAATAATCTGGACCAGACAATCCAGTGATCAACAGCATGAGCATCCATCTACACAATTGGGATATGATGACATGTGTCAACCAAGTCAGTGAGTCTGATCACCTGATCCCGTTAGATGCCTCTTACGACAAGCATGGGTTACTGAAGATCAGTTCTAACCCGGGTGTAACTTTTACTCACTAACTATAAACTTGTGTTTTCATACATCAAACACATATTGTCAAACTTTCGTGTCATTTGAGTACCATGTCACATCACGTGACAATTTCTTTGACTGCGATTGGTTGTTTCTGAACAACATGAGTTTGACCTCACTTCACATGTCAAACTCGAGTTTGACAACTTAGAAAGTTTGATGGAAAAGTTGGTGAGAATAGAGACCGATCCTATTTCTCGACAACAGTTTGACAACTCTGAAATTGGTGTTGGTGGCGAGTTGTTAGAATGTTCACACTCTCAAACTCAAGTTTGACAACATATAACTTTCGTTTGTTGTGTGAAGGCCGCTTTTAAAAGGGAAGATCAGTTCTAACATTGATCTTCACAGGCCTTATCCATTACTGCTGTCTGTGTAATGTCAAGCATGATATATGTGACATTTTCCTTTGGAATCTTTTTCTGTTATTTTCACTACGTATTTGCCATCCAGAATCTAATATCACCATTTTCACTCCCAGGTTCTCAATGTGATGGCAGGCTTACACTGAAAACATAATACCGTTTCTCTTTCATCTCGCTTAACGAAATAATAAACTTGTCATCGCAAATCCAGAGTACTGAAAAACATGAAACCCACAAGATTTCATCTCCAGCCTTTCAACATCAGTATGTGCTTCCCTAACAACTAGTAATTGAGTAAACACAAGTATTATTCAGATTCCAGCCACATATGAGATTAGTTGTCTGGGAAATCTTATTTCATTAATTTTATGACCTAAAGGTCACATGTCATGTACATAGACACCATTTCTGTTCTATTTTGCGAGGAATAATTCCATTTGGCCTGTTTTACCCAATAACTGATGTTTCGTTTGATCCCCGTGGTACGGGACAATTAGATAAACAGTAGTAATTCTGTCTGGATCAGCTGAGTAATGAGAGCAGCCTGGAGAGCAAATATCATATACATGTCATCATGTTCTTCATCTAGTTCTCATGAATATTGATTTCTGCCAAATCTTGTACTGCCTCTATTATGCAGAGTATCAAATCTCCATTGTGTAGGTGGGGTAGCCTAGTGGTTAGAGTGTTCACTTGTCATGCTGAAGACCAGGTTTTGATTCCCCACATGTTTACACCCCATGATTTTCCTGGGTAATTGCTAAAACCGACCATACTCACTTACTATTACCCATGTTTCACATGTTAACCAATAATGTATAATCTGTATTCCATGTGTTATCCAATGATATATAATGTATGTTCCACATGTTATCCAACAATGTATGCTTAATGTTTCATGTGTTATACAACAATGGATAATCCATGTTCCCTGCATTATCCAACAAAATATAATCCATGCTCCCTGCATTATCCAACAGTGGATAATCCATGTTTCATGTGTTATCCAACAGTGGATAATCCATGTTCCCTGCATTATCCAACAAAATATAATCCATGTTTCATGTGTTATCCAAAAGGGTATAATCCATGTTCCATGTGTTATCCAACAACATATAATCCATGTTCCATGTGTTATCCAACAACATATATTCATGGTTCTGTGTTATTCAATATAGAATGCATGTTCCATGTGTTATCCAACAAAATATAATCCATGTTTCATGTGTTATCCAAAAGGGTATAATCCATGTTCCATGTGTTATCCAACAAAATATAATCAATGTTCTATGTATTATCAAACAATATATAATTCATGTTCCATGTGTTATCCAACAATGGATAATCCATGTTCCATGTGTTATTCAACAATGTATAATTCACGATCCCTCCGTTATCTAACAATGTATAATCCATGTTCCATGTGTTATCCAACAGTGTAATATTCATGTCCTGTATGTTTCAGGGAGTGTCCTTTGCAGTGTTTGTTCATGCAGCCCGGGCCCTAACAGAAGACAAAGAAAAGACTGCCACACCTATCAAGGGCCACACTTCTTGAAAAATCATTCATAGACTTCAAATTTACTAACCAGACAAAATGAACATGAATGTTTGTTATTTGATATTAATAATTATCTCACCTGACAGAATGCCTATTATCCGTTCATCTGTTCATATCTCTCAACTAAACTACAAGGGGCGGTGGGTTAGCGTAGTGGTTAAAGCCTTTGCTTGTCATGCTGAAGGCCCAGGTTTGAATCCTCACGTGTGTGAAGCCCATTTCTGGTGTCCCCCGCCCTGATATTGCTGGAATATTGCTAAAAGCTGCATAAAACATAACACACACTCACTAAGCTACAACTTCTGTGAAGGTGAAACACAGCTATGTGTTTTCTCAAAAGTCTTGTTCAGTGGCTGAACAGTGTTTGAAAAGTGTTCACAGAAGTTTGGATTTGGTTTTAAACATGGCCAGAACTGCAGTCATGTGTAAATCTAATGTGATCTTTTAGCCCCATCATCCCGCTTGGTGGGAGGGACCTGAGGGACTGACTGAGTTTGGTTTTACGCCGCTTTTAGCAATATTCCAGCAACATCATGGCAGGGGACACCAGAAACCTTCACACATTGTACCCACGTGGGGATTCGAACCCGGGTCTTCGACGTGATGAGCCAACGGTTTAACCACTAGGCTACCCCACCGCCCCGGGACCGGAGGGAAATCAACCCCAGGTACCTACATTGGTGTGTGAGAGGCTGTGCTGTTTTATTTTAACACCTGGTGCCTTTGTTGGTGTGCGCTCGTTTTCAGTTTTGCATCTGGTTTGAACATTGGTATAGGAGAAATTGTACTCATCATTTAGTTTAACACCTGGTGCGCACATTGATAAGGGAAAGGCTGTATTATTTGGTTTAACACCTGGTGCTCACGAAGGTGTACGAAACACATATTCATTGTTTAGTTGAACACCTGGTGCACACATTGATAGGAGAAAGGCTGTATTATTTGGTTTAACACCTGGTGCTCACAAAGGTGTACGAAACACATATTCATTGTTTAGTTGAACACCTGGTGCACACATTGATAGGAGAAAGGCTGTATTATTTGGTTTAACACCTGGTGCTCACAAAGGTGTACGAAACACATATTCATTGTTTAGTTGAACACCTGGTGCACACATTGATAGGAGAAAGGCTGTATTATTTGGTTTAACACCTGGTGCTCACAGAGGTGTACGAAACACATATTCATTGTTTAGTTGAACACCTGGTGCAATACATTGATAGGAGAAAGGCTGTATTATTTGGTTTAACACCTGGTGCTCACAAAGGTGTACGAAACACATATTCATTGTTTAGTTGAACACCTGGTGCACACATTGGTAGGAGAAAGGCTGTATTATTTGGTTTAACACCTGGTGCTCACGAAGGTGTACGAAAAACATATGCATTGTTTAGTTGAACACCTGGTGCACACATTGATAGGAGAAAGGCTGTATTATTTGGTTTAACACGTGGTGCTCACGAAGGTGTACGAAAAACATATGCATTGTTTAGTTGAACACCTGGTGCACACATTGATAGGAGAAAGGCTGTATTATTTGGTTTAACACCTGGTGCTCACAAAGGTGTACGAAACACATATGCATTGACTAGTTTAATATACTTGTTGCCAACAGATGTGTAAGAAAAACTGTATTCATTGTTTAGTTGAACACCTGGTGCGCACATTGATAGGAGAAAGGCTGTATTATTTGGTTTAACACCTGGTGCTCACGAAGGTGTACGAAAAACATATGCATTGTTTAGTTGAACACCTGGTGCACACATTGATAGGAGAAAGGCTGTATTATTTGGTTTAACACCTGGTGCTCACAAAGGTGTACGAAACACATATGCATTGACTAGTTTAATATACTTGTTGCCAACAGATGTGTAAGAAAAACTGTATTCATTGTTTAGTTGAACACCTGGTGCGCACATTGATAGGAGAAAGGCTGTATTATTTGGTTTAACACCTGGTGCTCACAAAGGTGTACGAAAAACATATGCATTGACTAGTTTAATATACTTGTTGCCAACAGATGCGTAAGAAAAACTGTATTCATTGTTTAGTTGAACACCTGGTGCGCAGAAACGTGTGAAGAACCTTGAACCTATTGTTTAGTTAAACACCTGGTGTCTACATTGCTATGTGAGAGACTGTACATATTATCTATTTAATCACCTGGTGTGTGAGATATTGTACTCATTGTTTTGTTGAACACCTAGACCCCGTTTCACAAAGCTATCATAGCGCTACGACCTCCTATACTGTAACATAGACTTACGACAGTCGTAGCGCTACGACCTCCTATACTGTAACATAGACTTACGACAGTCGTAGCGCTATGACCTCCTATACTGTAACATAGACTTACGACAGTCGTAGCGCTATGATGGCTTTGTGGAACGGGGCCCTGGTGTCTACATTGGTGTGGGAGATAATTTGTTTTTTATTTAACACCTGGTTAGGGAGATATTACTGTGAACGTCTTATAGGTGTTATTAACACAGGCAGTGGAAATAATTTATTCCATTGAACAATATGTTTTAAATGTGTAGATGTACTGAGAGAAACAAATAAAGGATCACAGGAAAATTCAAGCGTTCCTTTTTATTTTCCAGTTTTCATCACCACAGCGCTATTCAAAGCTGGTGATTGAAACTGGAAAATATCAAAGGAACGCTTGCATTTTCCTGTGATCCTTCATTGGTTTCTCTCAGTATATATATAATTAACTTGATGCCTTGTGATCTTGCCGATGGTACATTGTTGTAAGCAATTCTGTAAACATTCGTTTGGATTTTCAAGGGCAATAATGTAAAATAAATCACAGTAAACAAACATGTGTTGTTATTGTTGTTTCCTTACCTTTAGAATCCTTTTCACTTGAGGCCCAATTCTGCGTGGAATGTGGACAATATCTTGGTGGGAACACCTCAATCAACAAGGCATGCTAAGGCTATGGAGGCTCTGTAGCACGGCCCTTGTGACTGCCAGGGCCCCATTTCAGAAACGCGCTACGACAGTCGTAAGTCTATGTTGCACTGTAGGAGGTACGACAGTCGTAAGTCTATGTTACAGTATAGGAGGTACGACAGTCGTAAGTCTATGTTACAGTATAGGTAGTACGACAGTCGTAAGTCTATGTTAAAGTATAGGAGGAACGACAGTCGTAAGTCTATGTTACAGTATAGGGAGTACGACAGTCGTAAGTCTATGTTACACTATAGGAGGTACGCCAGTCGTAAGTCTATGTTACACTATAGGAGGTACGACAGTCGTAAGTCCATGTTACACTATAGGAGGTACGACAGTCGTAAGTCTATGTTACAGTATAGGAGGTACGCCAGTCGTAAGTCTATGTTACAGTATAGGAGGTACGCCAGTCGTAAGTCTATGTTACACTATAGGAGGTACGACAGTCGTAAGTCCATGTTACACTATAGGAGGTACGACAGTCGTAAGTCTATGTTACAGTATAGGGAGTACGACAGTCGTAAGTCCATGTTACAGTATAGGAGGTACGACAGTCGTAAGTCTATGTTACACTATAGGAGGTACGACAGTCGTAAGTCCATGTTACACTATAGGAGGTACGACAGTCGTAAGTCTATGTTACAGTATAGGAGGTAAAAGTCTATGTTACACTATAGGAGGTACGACAGTCGTAAGTCTATGTTACAGTATAGGTAGTACGACAGTCGTAAGTCTATGTTACAGTATAGGAGGTAAAAGTCCATGTTACACTATAGGAGGTACGACAGTCGTAAGTCTATGTTACAGTATAGGAGGTAAGTCTATGTTACACTATGTCGACAGTCGTAAAGTCTATGCCAGTCGTAAGTCTATGTTACACTATAGGAGGTACGATACGACAGTCGTAAGTCCATGTTACAGTATAGGGAGTACGACAGTCGTAAGTCTATGTTACACTATAGGAGGTACGACAGTCGTAAGTCCATGTTACACTATAGGAGGTACGACAGTCGTAAGTCTATGTTACAGTATAGGAGGTACGCCAGTCGTAAGTCTATGTTACACTATAGGAGGTACGACAGTCGTAAGTCCATGTTACACTATAGGAGGTACGACAGTCGTAAGTCTATGTTACAGTATAGGAGGTACGACAGTCGTAAGTCTATGTTACACTATAGGAGGTACGACAGTCGTAAGTCCATGTTACACTATAGGAGGTACGACAGTCGTAAGTCCATGTTACAGTATAGGGAGTACGACAGTCGTAAGTCTATGTTACACTATAGGAGGTACGACAGTCGTAAGTCCATGTTACACTATAGGAGGTACGACAGTCGTAAGTCTATGTTACAGTATAGGAGGTAAAAGTCTATGTTACACTATAGGAGGTACGACAGTCGTAAGTCTATGTTACAGTATAGGTAGTACGACAGTCGTAAGTCTATGTTACAGTATAGGAGGTAAAAGTCCATGTTACACTATAGGAGGTACGACAGTCGTAAGTCTATGTTACAGTATAGGAGGTACGCCAGTCGTAAGTCTATGTTACACTATAGGAGGTACGACAGTCGTAAGTCCATGTTACAGTATAGGGAGTACGACAGTCGTAAGTCTATGTTACACTATAGGAGGTACGACAGTCGTAAGTCCATGTTACACTATAGGAGGTACGACAGTCGTAAGTCTATGTTACAGTATAGGAGGTACGCCCGTCGTAAGTCTATGTTACACTATAGGAGGTACGACAGTCGTAAGTCCATGTTACACTATAGGAGGTACGACAGTCGTAAGTCTATGTTACAGTATAGGTAGTACGACAGTCGTAAGTCTATGTTACAGTATAGGAGGTAAAAGTCTATGTTACACTATAGGAGGTACGACAGTCGTAAGTCCATGTTACACTATAGGAGGTACGACAGTCGTAAGTCTATGTTACAGTATAGGTAGTACGACAGTCGTAAGTCTATGTTACAGTATAGGAGGTAAAAGTCCATGTTACACTATAGGAGGTACGACAGTCGTATGTCTATGCTACAGTATACGAGGTTCGACAGTGGTAAGTCTATGTTACACTATAGTAGGTATGACACTCGTAAGTCTATGTTACACTATAGGAGGTACGACAGTCGTAAGTCTATGTTACACTATAGGAGGTACGACAGTCATAAGTCTATGTTACACTATAGGAGGTATGAGAGTCGTAAGTCTATGTTACACTATAGGAGGAACGACAGTCGTAAGTCTATGTTACAGTATAGGAGGTACGACAGTCGTAAGTCTATGTTACAGTATAGGGAGTACGACAGTCGTAAGTCTATGTTACACTATAGGAGGTACGACAGTCGTAAGTCTATGTTACACTATAGGAGGTATGACACTCGTAAGTCTATGTTACACTATAGGAGGTACGACAGTCGTAAGTCTTTGTTACCGTATAGTAGGTACGACGTTCGTAAGTCTATGTTTCACTATAGGAGGTACGACAGTCGTAAGTCTATGTTACAGTATAGGAGATACGACAGTCGTAAGTCTATGTTACAGTATAGGAGATACGACAGTCGTAGCGCTACGATCGCTTTGTGAAACGGGGTCTAGAATGGTACATAGTTTAAGACAGAGTGATGACTGTTAAACTGATACAGAACAGAGATGTGAACTCCCTTTCGTGGACTTAAGATCGACTTACGACACCCTCAATACAACAGTTTGATGTAGTCTTACGACAGTCACAATGTAATATACGTATTACATATTATTTCATGGCTTACGACATTCCTAATGTGACATAGACTGACTTGGTTAAGATATCCTATATTTAGGACATCCATTATAAACCATTGTTTAACATTCATCATCTCAGACCAGCCACACTTTGGTCCCTTCCTCCCACATTAAGCTGACACCCTTGATACTGACTAAAGTGGTGTTAAACTCACTCACTCACTACCTCAGTCGTTTAAATGGCCAGTCATATAGTACATTCTGTAATTCTTACTACTGAACAACAGACAAATTTAACAATAGCAAAAAGGCTAACACCCATGTCTGTGACAGAAAGTTTCAGAAAGTTGAGAGTACAAATTTAATGTCGCTTCCGCATTATTTCGGCCATAAGCGACGATCGAAGACAATATCGATCTCGGCCAGTATGGTGTGTCGGTGGCACAGGCAAGTTCAGACAACAGTACAACTTCCAACACGAACGCTGTGTCACACAGAAGTTCAGACATGAGGACAAACTCTAACAACTGTGGGTAGAGTTCAGACAACAGTACAACTTCCAACACGAACGCCGTGTCACACAGAAGTTCAGACATGAGGACAAACTCTACCCACTGTGGGTAGAGTTCAGACAACAGTACAACTTTCAACACGAACGCCGTGTCTTACAGAAGTTCAGACATGAGGACAAACTCTAGCCACTGTGGGTAGAGTTCAGACAACAGTATAACTTCCAACACGAACGCCGTGTCTTACAGAAGTTCAGACATGAGGACAAACTCTAGCAACTGTGGGTAGATTTTAGACAACAGTACAACTTCCAACACGAACGCCGTGTCACACAGAAGTTCAGACATGAGGACAAACTCTAGCAACTGTGGGTAGAGTTCAGGCAACAGTACAACTTCCAACACGAACGCCGTGTCTTACAGAAGTTTAGACATGAGGACAAACTCTAGCCACTGTGGGTAGATTTTAGACAACAGTACAACTTCCAACACGAACGCCGTGTCACACAGAAGTTCAGACATGAGGACAAACTCTAGCAACTGTGGGTAGAGTTCAGGCAACAGTACAACTTCCAACACGAACGCCGTGTCTTACAGAAGTTCAGACATGAGGACAAACTCTAGCCACTGTGGGTAGACTTCAGACAACAGCATAACTTCCAACACGAACGCCGTGTCACACAGAAGTTCAGACACGAGGACAAACTCTAGCCACTGTGGGTAGAGTTCAGACAACAGTACAACTTCCAACACGAACGCCGTGTCTTACAGAAGTTCAGACATGAGGACAAACTCTAGCCACTGTGGGTAGACTTCAGACAACAGTATAACTTCCAACACGAACGCCGTGTCACACAGAAGTTCAGACATGAGGACAAACTCTAACAACTGTGGGTAGAGTTCAGACAACATTACAACTTCCAACACGAACGCTGTGTCACACAGAAGTTCAGACATGAGGACAAACTAGCAGAGTTGTGCAAAGGTTATGTTAGTGAAAGTAACAACATAATGTTTGATCGATCTTCACTGATAGAATCTATAACACAGTAAATACAGCGACTGGCCCTAAGAGAAGTATGGTGTAACGATGGTGTAACGGCTCACTTAACTATGTCGGTAGTGACCACGATACAGGCATAGGCACACGTCAGACAGCGAGGAAGACACCTGATGAATGAAAGCAGCCACGTTGATGCCGTCAAGTATCTTTTGGGATTCCGTAAAAGTTTTTTGATGAATGCAAATCATACATTCTTTTGTGTTCATTACTTAAAGGAGTCTAAAACAATGTTTGGTTCCAATCTGAATATTACTGCGAAAGCAAATTTTAGCTCAAAGTCAAAGATGGCCACCAAAATTTAACCAGGAACTGAAAACGTTGCATAAACCCGGAACAAAACACTGGTATTGGTATCAAATACCATGCATATTTGGTTACGGAAAATATTTCTCTTATGCTGTAAGTCACCAGATCTTTTTAATTTCGCTTTTTGTGTAAAATTTACAGTTATTTTTAGCTCTAAAAGGTCACAATGGTTGACTGTCACAATGATGAATAAAAACCCTATTTCTCCAAAAAGCATATATTTTATATAGAACTAGTAACATTAGGTAAAACGAATATGCTTCTTATCCTGTTTATCAACTGTAGAATAGGGCGGTGGGGTAGCCTAGTGGTTAAAGTGTTGGCTCGTCACGCCGAAGACCCGGGTTCGAATCCCCACTTGGGAACAATGTGTGAAGCCCATTTCTGGTGTCCCCCGCCATGATGTTGCTGGAATATTGCTAAAAGCGGCGTAAAACCAAACTCGGTCAGTCAGTCAGTCAGTCAGAGAAGAGGTCATCACCTGGAACTGTGATCCAGTAATAATTATTTAAGGCCTTTTCTCATGGTCAAACACGAGGTGGTTCCCATGACCTCACTAACAAGTCACACTGTCTTGGCTTCTAAAATACACAACGATTTGGTATGTCATTCAATTTTATTTGAGTTAAACTGATGTCCAATGACTTGAATGTTAGGCTTGATGTTTCTTACCAGTCACTATCTGTGTCAGTGTCTGAATCGCTGAACTGAACAGTGAAGTCATCTTCACAAGAGTTAGCCATTGAGCATGTGCACGTTTCGGTGCATGGGAGTCTGTTGTTCTTGTGACATACACCGAGTCTTGTGGAACCAGTCTGCTGTAGCAGTGCGGCTCATTTCACCAGTTGAATTATCGCTGCAGGAGCTGGAGGAACTGACTGGTTTGAAACCGTCCTCAGTCCAGCCATACGTTTCTGGAGAAGGAAGTTCAATGTTGGCATAGATGGCATTATGCCAGATATATGCTTGAAAATGTTATCTGAGCATGGCTGGTTTCAGTGCTGCAGAGGTTGGTTGAAGAATGTCTGCCTGTTGTTCCAAATGTCAACCAGTGAGTGGCCCATCTGACCTTGTGTCTAGTTCGGTTCCTGTGGTAGGTGTCTACCCATTTCACCCATCACAAGTTGCACAGAGAGGTGCGGACAAACATGGCAGTAAACACCACCAAGGTCCCAGCACTCCAATGCATATTGTTAGAGGAAGTAAACTTTGATCGGATGGTCCAGTGCGGGGACTTGGTTGACTGAGTGGCATAGTTCCAAGGGCACGATGTGAGGCTTGATCGTGATAATCACGGGTTTGTGTGACCCAGGCCCAATTACCCATTTTGTTTGAGTGACTGAGTGAGTATGGTTTTACGCCGCTTTTAGCAATATTCCAGCAATATCACAACAGGGGACACCTGGAATTGGCTTCACACATTGCACCCATGTGAGGAATCAAACCCGGGCCTTCGGCGTGACAAGCGAACGCTTTAACCACCAGTGTCCCTATCCATCTTGAAGATTTCTGAGGCGCGAAACCAAGAACAAAGTATACACGATTCTATTTAACATGAACATATGAAAATATCAAGTTCTTGGACTTACCGTGTAATGAGGTTGTTAGGTTGTAAAAGCAATTTCAGGAAATGTTGGTTCATCTAATAGCTTAAATTGCTTGATCTATACCTCTGGCTTGTGTGACCCTCCTTCTGGGACATACATGGTCCACGTGTACCCTTGTGTTTGTCCTGCTGATAGATCTGAACGACCCTTCACAACCACTGGTCAATACAAGGGTGCGCTGTAGACATGGGACCTCTTCTGGTATCCAAACTGTACACGTCCTATCAGAAAGTCGATCAATTCAAGAGTTTTACACTCTACATGTGGGTAATTAGAGACATCACTGAGTGATCATTCCACAAACGGCTTGACAGTAGGGTTTACACGGTAGATTCACAGAGCACTATAATGTTAATTCGAAGGAATTGTCTGTTTTGCAAAATACGCATATCAATATATGACGAGTACCGTGACATGTGCTGAAAACAGATTTCCAGTGTTGCTGCTTAATTCACGTGATACTTTGGATCAGCCAACCTTTCAGTATAGCTCGATGTCTTTATTTTGTTGTAACATTGTTATTAAAGACACAGTAAAATACGTCTATGACAAACTCAAAGGGAACATAAATTTACATTCGTTATATCCATCAGTTCGTTATACCCGTGTTCGGTATAACCTTGTTTGTTATACTCGTGTTCGGTATACCCGTATTTGTTATACCATGTTCGTTATACTGTGTTAATTATACCTGAGTTTGTTATACCCGTGTTCGTTATACCCTTGTTTGGTATAACCATGTTCGGTATACCCGTATTTGTTATACCATGTTCGTTATACTGTGTTCATTATACCTGAGTTTGTTATAACCGTGTTCATTATACCCATGTTTGTCATAGACGTGTTCGTTATAACCGTTTTCGTTATACACGTGTTCGTTATAACCGTGTTCGGTATACCCGTTTTCGTTATACACGTGTTCGTTATACACGTGTTCGGTATACCCGTGTTCGTTATACACGTGTTCGGTATAACATTGTTCGGTATACCCGTTTTCGTTATACACGTGTTCGTTATACACGTGTTCGTTATACCGTGTTCGTTATACACGTGTTCGGTATACCGTGTTCGTTATACACGTGTTCGTTATAACCGTGTTCGGCATACCCGTCTTCGTTATACACGTGTTCGGTATACCGTGTTCGTTATACACGTGTTCGTTATAACCGTGTTCGGCATACCCGTGTTCGTTATACACGTGTTCGGTATACCGTGTTCGTTATACACGTTTTCGTTATAACCGTGTTCGGTATACCCGTGTTCGTTATACACGTGTTCGGTATACCGTGTTCGTTATACACGTGTTCGGTATACCGTGTTCGTTATACACGTGTTCGGTATACCGTGTTCGTTATACACGTGTTCGGTATAACCGTGTTCGTTATACACGTGTTTCTTATACCCGTGTTCGTTATACACGTGTTCGGTATACCCGTGTTCGTTAT